AACAAAAAGTATATTCAGGCAGCAATCAGATGTTGAACCAAAAAATGCAGGGGGGAAACTGCATTACTATGAAGGCAAGCAGGATAATTGCCTTACTCTGCAGGATTTATTTGAACAATGGAAGGCCCTTTCAAGTCAAAATTTGCAGGAGTGTTAAGAGAACAAATGAATAAGCCTGAAAGAAAATGGGGAGAAAGGAAGCAAACACTGATTCACTATTCAGCCCTAACCATAGAAATGTAGCTGAATCTCTTGAAAAACAGGAATAACAGAGGAAAGGAATGCCAGTATAAAGTTAGATCCTGCTATTGCAGGAAAAGAGTTGAGAAAGTGGAATGTTTCTACTGCAGCAGAGGTAGCCCCAGCTAGACTCAGGTCTTGGAGAATCCAAAACCTGCTTTTCACACACATGACTCGGGGAAGCTTCCTCGTCTTCACAAATAGCTCCAGTGTGATGGGGGACTATCAGTGTTGGAGTAAATGGTTGATGAAACTAAATGTTATAAGAAAATTAGTTTCGTTTTGTCAAACTGAAAAATAATCAATTTCATAACACTAAGCGATCTCTCTCTTTGACTCAAAAAATGGCCTAACAATAGCAACAGCAATAGCATTTGTGCCTATCACCAATTCTATTGTACATCCCTAGCACTTAGGTCTTTAATACTACACTAAAAGGAAATAGGATTCCTTGAATAGCATTTGAGTCCATGCATTGGGGCAGGAAAAAGTCAGGATGGATCTGGAACACTGTTGCTGCTTGACCACAAAAATACTTTTTCAAAGACATCCAGAGCAGTTTTAAAAGGAAGAGCCTCCCCAAGAGGTTCCCATCAGCAAAGTTAGGACATTTTGAGTATCGATAACAAATTGATAGTTATTTAGAACAAAGCCAAGGGTGCGTAATGATACTCAAAAGAGGAAAATGGGGCTGGCCCGGTGGCGCACTGGAGAGTGTGGCGCTCCCGCCGAGGGTTCGGATCCCATGTGGAGACCAGTTCCCGCTCACTGGCTGAGCACTGTGCGGGCACAACGAGGGTTGCGATTCCGTTGCCGGTCCCCGGTACGGGCGCGACACCGAGGGTTGCGATCCCGTTACCGGTCAGTAAAAAAAAAAAAAAAAAAAAGAAAATGAATGTAAAAAATTGAGAAAGTTCTAATAAAAGAAGTGTTTTGTTTTTGGCTGTCCGGTAAGGGGATCTGAACGCTTGACTTTGGTGTTGTAACACCACGCTCTAACCAACTGAGCTAACTGGCCAGCTCCTGACAGTTCTATAAACTGGTGAATATTATATGCTTAGTGCCTTATTGATGTTAGTAAACAAGAGCATTGATGTCTGCCTTTAAGTATAGATTATGTTCTTGTTTCTATATGATGGTGCTTCAGAAAGTTCGTGGAAAAATAGAATTAAAAGATAATATGAATCTTCTCATGAACTTTTTGAAGTACCCTCATGTATAAATAGGAAGGAGTGAAATAAAACTAGTGAGAGCCAAACAGTCCTCATTTGAAAGAAAATTTCCACTCCTCAAATGGAAGAAAGTAGGAACTGAACAAGAGTAGGAAGAACTGAGGTAGGAGTCCAGGAACCATCTACCATTGGTCATGAACATTCAACTGAAAGAAGGTCCAACAATGGGTTCCAAGATGATAGATTATCCACATTCCCCAGAAAGAAAGCTAAATTTTCAGGGAATTAAACTTTTGAGATAAACTCATGAATAGAAATCAATTCATGGAGACTGACATAAGTTTCTATGTATAGTGACAAACCAGGTCAATATACCATAAATGACAAGAATTAGGTACTGACAACCATGCATAACATAAAGGGCACTGCATTGCCAAGAAAGAGAGCACATCTCTAATCATTAAAATCTCTGAAACACAGGATATAAGAACCTCATAATGTAACAAGTAAAGCTTTATTATAAAAAACAAAAAGGGCAGGCCAGTTTGTTAAGAGCACGATGTTGATAACACCAAGGTCAAAGTTTCAGATCCTCCCACCAGCCAGCCACCCCCCCTCCCCCAAAAAGAAGGGACTCATCCTAAGGATCAAGGCTCAGCATCACATCAGCCTGTGTAACAAGGTTGCACATCATCAACAATAACAGTTACCTGATCCCACAACTTAATCTAGGCCAAGATGGTGTCTCTTCTTGAATCTAGTTAATATCCTGAATGCCCAGAAACATATAAAATCTACCTTAGAAAGGCAACATTAGAATAGAAATAATAAACGTAAGAAGCTGAAATAGCAATCCTCTTACATGTAACTGTATTGGCTAGTTTTGTAATCATTATAATATTAATAGGGTTTTGTCTCTAAAGGTGTTTAAAACATCCAAGAGAATATGATATACCAGATTTGAAATGTTTAGAAGTCTTTGATAAAGTCTGCAATATTTAAATGATCAAAGAAATTAATTTTGCTAGTTACATATGTGTAGATTGGTTAGTTACATACATAGTATGTGAATATTTAGAGGAATGTTTAACTTTTAAAGCAATGTAATTACTTAATAAATTCTTAAGATTAATAAATTAGGTACTAAAAAAAGTACAAATAAAATTATTCCACTCCCTGCTCCAATGCCTGACATTATTTAACAATAGCAACAAAAAGATTCTCAGGAACACATAAGGAATGTCAAAACAACCAAGGCGAAGGAGGAACAAGTAACGTGATGTAGGATTTAGTACTTGCAGGGAGAAGAAAAAAGGAGTACGTTAAGAATCTGGGGAATGGCGGCACCCTATGATTTGACTTAGAAAGCTCTCTCTTGTAAATCTGTAGTACCTTGCACTCAAAAGAATTAGTGGTAAACCCAATGGGTCAAAAAGGAGATGAAGGGCTGGCTGGTTAGCTCACTGGGTTAGAGCATGGTGCTGATTAGCACCAATGTCAAGGATTCGGATCCCCATACTGGCCAGGCACCAAAAAAAAAGGAGATGAAAACTAAGGTTTAAAAAAATACATACTTATTCTCAAAATCCCACTGAACAGACAGTAATAAAATTACAAAGAAATGGAGAGGAGACAACTGCAGAAGAGGGATATCAGCGAATCTTTAGGAAGTTAGAAAATGACTGTAGTAGAGTTAGGGAAGTCACAGTCTACGAGCCTGGAGGTAGGAATACAAGAAGCAAGCAAGGTATTCCACGGAACCCCCCAAAAGATTTAGCACTTGGACTCACTGGATTCTGAGGGTGGAGGGGATCAGATAAGACCAACTGTGGGACTGAAAACAAGGGTGAAATTAGCTGAGAGATATTACTGAGATATTGGGCCCCCAGGTCTCCTTTATCACACCACTGGAAAGTTACTTAACCTCTCTGTATTTCTTTGTATGTAAAATGGGGATAATAACAGTACCTACCTCAAAGAGTTATTAGTAGTAAACGTTTTTTGCAAAGCACTCAAAACAGTACCTGGCACACAGTACTATTGTAAGTGTGCAAAAGAAAATAATTTTTTTAAATGCCTAAACTCTTGAGCATTGAAAACTTGTGGTCAGCCCCATGAAATCTCAGAGATCTACATATCATGGTCTTATGAACTTTCTCTTATCTACAGAGGAGGGAAAATAAAACGAGAATATCATAAAATTAACCTCAGAAAAATTCCTGGCCAGGTCTGTCTCCTTGGAGGGGCTGAGCATAGAATGCCATGTAGAATTAGATGAACTCCAAGAAGATATATAAACTCTGATGCTTTACATTTGGGCTTAAGAACGTAGAAAGTCCCAGGATCCCTTTGTTAGCATTCCACTCAAATGGTCATTATAGTTGTAAAAGTAAAGGGAGGACTGCAGTTAACATAGGGAAGAAAAATACTAGAACCAATTTCTGGAACTTGAGAGACTAGATCAGGTAATCGAAATCAGCCCCACATTTGGAACTTCCTTAAAATTGAGCACAAGCACCCCTGCAAAGCCAAAACCAACATTATCTTTTTCATTCTCCTGTTCTTTGCCTATCCTGACCATGCTTGGGGAACCTCATGGGTCAAAAGAATGGCTAGATCAAAGCAATATTTGGGTATTCCTGAGTTCCCTGACCAAAATTCCATCTACATACTATCATAATATCAGCCCAGTTGCATCCCAAAGACTAGATTCTGAACCTGAAAGTTTTCCTATGGTATTTGTAAAAGCAGTGGTAAAGTTTGGGTTCCATTTTCCATCAAAAGTGAAGTAGTACAGTGCTAGGAAAGAATAAAATATCTGATTCTTATCTGCCATTTTTTTAAAACTTTGTTATTTAAAAGGTACATAATTATATGCCAACTACTTATATGCAAACTGCTTATGCTCTGGGAAGATACCTCATCTATAAGTGGAAAGATATTGCTTTACTTGTGTGAAAGCACAAATCACCATATGAGTAGACTGGTATGACTCCTTTACCAGTGTATACCCTGTGTCTGAGAGAAAGCAGGTACCCAATACAGATTTGTTAAACAAATTCACACATACATACAGTTATGTAGAGAACTACTTACCGAGGTCCCTTGTTGATCTGAGGACTTTTAGCACTATGATTGTATGTTTAACGCCAGAAGGTTGTTGGGTATGAAGTGAAAGGAGAGGAGGAGTTCAATATTGACTAAAGGAAGACTGAATTTTCCCAGGATTTGTCAGTCTGTTTCTGTGAAAGTATTTTTAAGATATTAAATGCTGGGCCAGCCCAGGGGCGCACTCGGTAGAGTGCGGCGCTTGGGAGCGCAGTGGCGCTCCCGCCAAGGGTTCGGATCCCATATAGAGACCAGTCCGCTCACTGGTTGAGCGCGGTGCGGACGTGACACCAAGGGTTACGATCCCGTTGCCGGTCACAGTACGGGCGTGACACCGAGGGTTGCGATCCCGTTACCGGTCACGAAAAAAGACAAAAAGGAAAAAAAAAAAAGATATTAAATGCTATAATAACACTTCACATGTCTATTTAAATACACATTGAAATGATATACAAAGATTTCAATAACCAAAATAACTACAAAAAATATACAAATTAACTTTATTAAGTTACCACTTCAGTCCTTACATTGATTGTTTAAAAAATATCAGTTTGAAATACGTTATTGAAAGTGAGTACACACAATAAATAGAAAATAGGGATGTATAGTGCTGGAGACATACCAACTAACTTATCTTCATCGCTGCCTACTATTATAGACAAAATTTGACATGCAATTAGCATTACTGAAAGAACAGCCAATGTACCTGGGAGAAGACTGCAACCTACTGGAAAGGTATCTTAAAGCTCTGGACCACTCACCAAAAAAATAAAAATTAAAAAAAATGCACTGTTTATCTCGAACATAACCTCACTATACCATTGAATGAATTATCTACTACTACCCATAAGAACAATTTAAAATATTACAAGTGTCCAGGGAAGCTTCATTTACAGAATACATAAGTCAAAGTTTTTATTTTAAATATATGATTACTCAAATATCCTAAGCCATATGGTGGCCCTATAACAATAAGTTACAAATAGTCTGAATTTAATAACTTAAAACGTGATATGGTTAATATAATACATAGTGCATGAATATCTCAACTAACCTCTTTCAGGTAAGGTGCTAATTAAAAGGTTTAAATTTACAGTTTCAATTCTGCTCAGAAGACTGATGTCAGTATTCTAGCAATAGTGATGACATCCCATTGTAGGAAATATAGAACATGCTATAATGTACCCATTACCTTGAATGACACTTGATTGAAGAAATAATTCTATGTACAAGCGGGTACATATTCTGTGTGCAAATTTTCAGTGGTGGGTGCAGGTTTATAATCAAAACTGGGTTTAACAAATGCTCTCTGACTTCTGAAAACAAACCATGAAAGCACTTCCTAAAAGTCAACAAACTAAAGTTACAAGTAGATGACACCAGTTCTTTTTTCCCTTTATGTGTGATGGACTTCATGAAGCATTAATTCTCGAGGTATATTTGTTTCTGGACCATACAGCTTACATGCTCTTCTTTCAAAGGCAGCTACCATCTGCTTCACAACTTCATCGAAAAACAACGTGGCAAGCTGAGAATGTAGAAGTGAGCGAAATTCAAAAGAAATCTGTACGAAAATGTTAAAAATTATTTTAGAAAGACAATTCTTTTTCTTTTTTTATTGAATCATAATTGATTATACATATTTTGGGGGTTCAATGTTGACTATGTTGATCAAATCAATATTATTAGCATATACATTATTACAAATGGTACTTATTCTTTATGCCCCTTATCCAATCTCTCCCCATCCCCACTCCCTCCCCACTCCCACCTCTGATAACTCTAGATTTCTTCTCTCCTTCTGAAAGAGTAACAGTTACTCTGTTGATTTGTTGCCTAGATGGAAAGATCTTTCTTTTATTAAAATCTCCATTTACCTCAGTGGAGTTCACACTGTGAACTGGGTATCTTAGGCTGTGTGCGAGTATACCCAGGTGAGATTTTTAGCACTACTCAGAAGAGGCAGTCTTCACTGCAGTAAGCACAACTGCTGGCACAATAAGCTTAAGTAAACAAGGCCAAAGAATTTCATTTCAAAGCAAAGATTCTGCTTTTTAATAAGTTAGAGAAGACTGGAAAAAAGCTTTGCTGAATACCAAGTTTATCACTCTAGCTTCTTATCAATGTGTATCTTTTAGACCATGCTACCCCACTAATGGAAATAAGAATGCAAGTAGCCTTCTCACAGGTATCATTCTCATAAGTAGCAGCAGGAAGATGAGATTGCATGTATGCATGCACAATCCACAAGGACGAGGTAGGTGGGTCAATCTTAAACAGGTCAATGATTTAAAACTTTATTTCTACTCCATCATTCTAGATAAAACTCAAGGCAACTGGTTTGAGAAAAAGTATTTTAAGGACCAAATATCCTCTAAAGTTTAAAATGTTTTACCTTTCATTCTGAAATAATTTCATTTTTGTAAAAAAAGTTACAAAAATAGTACAAAGAGTTTTCATGTATCCATCACCCAGATTTCCATATTATAATGTCTTATATAATAACCACAGTACAATTATCAAAACGAGGAAATTAACAGAGGGGGTTACTACTACTAGACAACAGTGTTATTATCTAATCTATACAGACCTTATTCAGATTTCCCCAATTGTCCCATTGTCCGCTAATTTTTTAATGAAAGCTAGTCAAGAGCTGAGAACAGCATATAAAAATGTAATCAAAATTACCACCATTTCTTAAGACTCAATGCCTAAATTCCAAGTACAGAAAACAACTCACTTATTACCTGTTGGCAAAGAAAAAGCCACAAGTGGCTTTAAGTTTCCTATGGCTAAGGTGATATAAACAAGAAATTTAACAGTCCGAAGATCCTAAAAACATATTTTTCACATTTGCATTTATTTCTGCATCTTTTATGCAATGTGTAGATTTAATTTGGTGTTAATTTTAGATTTTTATTAAGCTTAAAACTGTTATTAAGCTGGTCATGGCATCTGTCTTATAATCTACGGACTTCTAAAAATTAGGAAATAGGGAAGGAATGAATATTCAAGGTTGTAAGAAATAGAATACAAAAAGAAATGTTCATTAGCACTTGTGCTGAAAAAAGTACTCAATACTCAGAAACTTAATATTTTTTTTTAAATTGGGTTTAAGTAATCACTATGCACATAAGATAATTATGGCATCTGGGTTCTACAAAATGGATTATTACTTCTTTACCTACTTCATATTGTGGAACATGCAAAGGCTTTATGAGAGACTTACTAAAAAATCCAAGGTACAAGTTCTTGGGTAGCCAGGGAGACCTGGGCTAAAACGCCAAATACTCTCCAAATGATTGAAAAGTTTCCCATCAGTGCAGGATGCCTAGAACAAAAATGAGAAAATAAAACCACGGCAAAATACCTTTGGTATTGGCTAGAATCTGCCACGATTAAGGCTGATTTCTTTCAAAAGTAATTATTTTTATAGGCTGGACCACAAGAGCTGAAGATATTTCATTTTTAGCTTGGTACTAGGAAGTAATCTCTTGCCAATATTAACCATTTTCTTTTCTTCTAGGATCCCCAAGATTGCCAGTTGTTTTCTCTTCCACTGCTACATCACCCACTGTGCTACAGAGATTTCTCTCTTCCAGCAGAGAAACAGGGAGTGATTTTTTAGGAAGCTTATTTCTAGCTCTTCCAGTTATAAGTGATTCTGAACAAGTTAAATCCCTGTACCATATTTCCTTAATCGGTAAAATAATACCGACTTTAAACAATCACTATAAGATGGCTGAAATGTTTACAAGGTACCGAGTATAGATGCATAGCACAATTCTACAATTCTCCCCTACCCAAGATTTTTCTCTTGTTAATCGCACTTAAGTCTTTCCTTCATTCTTTACTCCTTATAACTAGAAGCCTCTATCCAGTTTCCCTGAAAGACTGGTCCTTACCCTTGACCTGACCCATTTCTTTCTGACCTCTTCAGTGGACATGTGTATTTTATAGACCTGTACATACACACTGAAATACAGTATTCAGCCATATTATGTGCAGTGCATCTTGATAGTTCCCATTCTATATCATTAAAAAAATACTGAGACCCATGAAAGAGTCGCCATCTGCAATGTGAAAATTGGTGGCTAGAACCATAGTCAGTAGTCCACTGTGAGGATCTGTTATGACCCTGAGTGAAGTTCAGCTTTTTTATCTATTACTCTAAATTGCTATCTAGGCCTTATTGCACTAGCAGACAAGTGACCACAGAATACATATCACCCTCCCTTAGCGGCAGAACATTTCAAAAATTGTTCTTTCGTAGTCTACAACCTCCTCCTCAATTAAGTCTTAAGTTTTCAGCTCTTTAAGCATATCCTGAGGTCAATAAGTAATCAGCTCCTCTTTTTTTCTCTTTTTGATAACTTATTCCCCTCAAGAGTTTAGATTATTTCTCCTCTAAGGCTATATATAATCACTAAATAATCAAGCCCTTCTTTCCCTTTTCTCTTTTTGATAACATTCCTCTCAAGATTTTAGACTGTCTCTCCTCTAAGACTATAATCACTACAGTTATGCATTAGCAAAATAAGGACTTCTATACGTAAACTATTTTTCTCCCAAGTAAAGGAGTCACTTTTTCCTGCCAAGCTACAGCCTTCCTAAACACAGAACATAGAACCATTTCTCTGACCAAATTCTGGATCTCTCCACAAATAGCTCAAATTGGGAGCCAAAGAACTGAAAATCTATTCCCAGTTTCTAACTTCCTCTTCATCCAAACCCTTTTGAATCACTTATCAGCTGGTTACATGGTAGAATCATTAATATTGAGGTCATCGGCACCCATACTTAAATACGTTTATATCAGAAATGCTCTATTTACACATTTATAAAAAGAAAATATTTTAATTTAAAAAATGGAAACCAGTGAATGTTTTAAAAATTTATTTAGATGTGAGAAAATAATAGTCATTAAAATACTAACTACTTTAATAGATAAATTTAATCACATTATGCTAAGTCACTGGAGAGAAGTAAAAATTTTATTCAAGGTGTTTAGCCTTCTATAAAGTTCAGTAATGACCATCTAATTTTTAAGAGCATCAGACTCTAATAATAAAATCTTCTATTTTTTATTTTATTTTTTAAGGTTAGTCAAGTGAACTAGTGGGAGTGAAGAATAAGATTTTATTATTCCAGTTATCCAGCATAAAGATAATACATTCTGCTCTTCTTTGCAATCACATAAGAAGCTTGCAGGAAATTTAACACTGAAAAGGAAACAGCTGTGGGAATACTTGCTATAATACAGCACCTTCCTCTAACTACTTTTACACAAAATGTCATAGCCCTGTACTCATGATGATCTAGCCCAAGGACACATGGATTTTTACTACTATGCCTTAATAGAAATAACATTACCAAAAAGACTTCATTTTTAACAGTAGATATATTGAACATAGTAGAACTGTTATGACGATGACCTACTACTGGTTGTTCTGAGTGAACTGACCCAGACCATCATATAAACTAATCCATATAAAACGTTTACATTGTGAACCAGGCAGTAAGAGTCATTGAACTCTATTAAATCTGCTGAAAACTTTCAAGGGGTTCTGGCCATTACCAATTTTTGTAGACTAGAATTACTGACATATTAAGTCACAGGAACATTTTGGACAACTAATAATCCACAGAAAATGACACATGGCTTCTCTTGTTCCTTTGATTATAATGATTTTTATTGTATGTCACATATTTGTATTAGATATTAAAATCCAGAACGTGAACTCAGGGACAACTGAAAGCTGAGTGTATATAGTTGTGCGTTATTCTCAAATATATCTTTAAACTATAAACTAGTATATTAAGTGAGGCAGTTTATTATAATGGAAAAACAGTCTTGAAATACACATAAAGTGTGAATTTGTTTAAGGTTCTTAATCTCCTTAAGCTTCATAAATTTGAGCTAGCAATAATCATCTAGAACAAGTTTGTTTTTTTTTTTTTTTTTTTTTTAAAGATGACTGTGAAGGGGATCTTAACACTTGAGTGGGGGTTGTCAGCAACATGCTCACCCAGTGAGCTAACCGGCCATCCCTATATGGGATCCGAACCCGGGGCCTTGGTGTTATCAGCACCACACTCTCCCAAGTGAGCCACGGGCCGGCCCTACACGTTCTTATGAAGATTTTTTTTTCTAATACAGTTTCCTCCATCCTTGGCACTTTTGAAAGTTACTCTGAGATTATTATGAATGTCTCTGCATCTGCAATAACCCAAGAATACAGGTAGTGAGAGCTTCATAAGCAAGGAACCCTCATGATTCCCATCACTGTAGTACATATGCTGAGGATACAGAGATGAAAAACACAGGGCCCCCTTCCCTCAAGTAGCTCAATCTGGTCAAGGAGAAATCCAGTTGAAGAAATATATTATAATACAGAGTGATAAGAGAAATAAAGCATGTACAAAACCCAGGAATAACAGGTAGATTATCTGTATGAAAGAAAAGGGACAAAACAATACAAGATGGCTAGAATTTGAAGGATTAATAGGCAAGGAGTTAAGTGCATTATAGATAGAAGAGCGAACAATATGCAAAGGCACAGGACTGTGCAATAAGTACTGTACAGTGCATTATGGAACTTTAAGATGTATGGTTTTGCTTGAACATTAAGTATTTATGTATGTCTGAGGAGGGAGGGGGGAGTAGATGGGTCTGTGTGCAATGATAAAGAAACTGATTTTATCCTGCATGTTTTAAGAAGCCAGGGAAGTGAAGAAAGCCAGAGCAGGGGAGGTATGAGATTTTTTTTCTTAAGAGTTCTTTTAGTTAGAAGCAGCATACTATACTAAGATTTAAGATATATGAATTTGAATGGTAAGAGACTGAGGTTGGGGAATAGAAAAACATTTTTAAGATTATAGAGATATTCTCTTGTGTAAGACACACTAAGCTGTAGTCTTGGCTTTATGACCTTGGGCAAGTGATCTAAATTTTTCAAGCCTTAGTTTGCTCAACTATAAGATGGAGAATAACAACACTTGAACCTCAAAGGGCTGTTGTGAAGATTAAATGAGTAATTCAAGGAAAGCACTTAAAAAGGGCTCAGTAAATGTGATAGCTATTATAAAAGAGGCAGTGAAGTGTAGTAGTTAAAAACATCAAAACTATGAGGCAAGTAGGTGGAAACATTTGTCATAATGGCAAAGTCCCAGAGTGGGGCACAGCCTTTTAAGTGGAGTTCAAGTTTTGAGAGTGAGAATAGGGCAGACACCAGGATCTTGGCTTCGCTGCACCATATACTCTTTCCAGATTTTGCACCAAACAGAGTACATCTGAAAGTTACACCCACTTCAATGCCTGACAAAGAGCCGACTAGGACATTTAGCTCTGGCCAATTAACATGAAATTTTATGGGCACAAAACTCAACTCAGCTTTAAAAGTCTTTGCCCACAAAATAGGAATTCAAAAGAAATGGTTATTACTTCATGGAATTCTGCCTTCTTGTGTGTTCAAGTCCGGGTACCTTTTCTATATGTGTATCCTCCTCTGACAAGGGTAAGATGATTAATATAAATACCTGTCATTTCAGTACCTGGTACATAGCAGAATGACTTCAACAATGTTAACATACTCCATATCTATAACTTTTCTACTTCATTCTCTCACCACTCTCCCTTGACTTTGAAATATATATAGTTTTTGTTTGTTTATAGTTTTTATTAAATAAAAGGAGCAGAGGAAGAGGGAATCCTATAGTCTCTCAAGCTATGAGATACAGCCATGGGCCTTCCCCTCCCTCTGTTCAAGGTGCACTGTGCAGTGGGCTTGAGGTGTAAGCTAGGTTATGGAGGGCAGCTGGGAAAGAAGTCAGGACCTGTGACCCATCCACGTCTCCTGGAAGACTCAGTGGGCAGGACAGAGCCTCCTGGACACCAATGGGGGAAAAATAAATTACTGGGGAAAAATATATTCATTAAACAAATCTATTTTTCCCCCAATGGTAAAGCATTTAATGTATTTTTCTTAAATAGTGCAAAGATTAAATTAAAACATTTCTCACTGTGTGGCCCAAGTGATCTTTTCTATGGGTCAGTGGTCCTCAACAGAAGGAAAGAAAGAAGAAAATGTTTCGTATTTCCATATTCTACTCAAACTTCTATTTGCAAAGAATAATGATAATACTGTATAAAATAACACAATTAGGAGATATAATAAATGGCTTTTTTCCCCCTCCTCCAATTCATTTAGATATTCTTTTTAAGTTATTACACTTTAACCCATTTGATGTAATTTAATATTTGGGGAATATTTAAAAACAATAAAAAATAAAACTATTACCTTTACCAAATGTGGTTTCACCAAGGTTACCACTGATGTATATCGCTCCAGCACAGGTGGAAACCCAATTTCCAGTCGTGCTTTACAATATCCGGATCTCTTTGATAGTATATCTGACTTTTTGCACCAAGGAACAAAATGCTTGTAATCCTCTACTCCCGACACTACGTCGTACATTTCCTGCATTGAATATCTTTAAAAAAAGAAAAAAGATGGGGGGTGTTAACTGTGTCCAGTTATATGGTATATGTACACTTTAAATTGAAGTCTTATTGTATATGAGGCAATAAATCATTTGGCAAACATTGAACCACACTCTGAAATGAATGACTTCAAAGCAACACAGAAAATAAAAGGGGTCTAAATAAATATATATAGCAGAGGTTACAATGTGGCAGCCCACAGGTTGGATGTGGCCTGCAGATGTGGTTTTAAAATTTTTAATTAGTTACTAACATTTAAAAGTTGAGTTTATATAAAAAACTGGAAAACATGGAAAGGTCTTGCAGAAATGGGTCCACATTTCTATGTAATAAGAACTGGCTTGAGTGAACTAATTCCTTACTTGGAGCCAGAAATTTTATTTCGAGCAATTTATCATTCAAAATACTCTCACACTGGACTGGCTGGTTAGCTCAGTTGGTTAGAGTGCAGTTTGTTAACACCAGGGTTGAGGGTTCGGATCCCTGCATCAGCCGGCCACCAAAAAAAAAAAAAAATACTCCCACATTATACAAAGATGTTCATTTCAATATCAATTGTGAGAGGAGAGAAAAAAAAAAATAGAAGCAACCTAAATGTCTATCAGTAGACAGACATTAATAAGTGTTTAACAAATCAATAAATTATGGTTCACCCATACTGTGAAACTCTGTATCAGTTACTTAAAAGAATTAAGTCAAATATATACTTTAAGGCAAAGAAGTTTATAGTATATTGTTAATGAAAAAAAGCACATTATGAAGTAGGAAATGTATGATTCTACTTAAGAAAAAGTGTAAGTATATACCATATTTCTTCAATTTTAAACTTATTTAATATTTGTTCTCTCCTGAAAATAATTATGTCAATAGAATGTCTATAGTGAAAATACATTTAAAAAATCTGGAAGGATACAGATTAAACAATTAAGAGTTGTTAACTCAGGGAAAAGAAGTAGGGGTAAAGATAGACTATCCTCTATATGCTTCCATATTGTCAGATTTTTATACAATCATGTAATACTGTCATACTTTTAAAAAAGAAAAATGACTACTCTAGAACTCAAAGGAAACCTCTCATTCTTTTTATGAGCCAGTATAAGATTGTGACAACCAAAACCTGATAATAAATATAAAAAAAAATGCTATATACCAACATCACCTGTAAGTACTGAGGCAAAAATTCTCAGTAAAATATCAGCAAATAGAATTCAGCAATACTTTTTTTAAAAAAACAACCCACAAGAATCAAACGCAACTCATTTAGGGATATACAGATGGTTTAATACTAAGAATTTCGTTATTATAACCATATTAATTGGCCAAAAAAGGAAAACCTATATGATTCCATCAATAGATAGTAAAATACCAGAAACATTCCCATTAGAGTAAGGAATAACACAAAAATGCTGCTATGTTTTTTGCACACACACACACACAGTCATGTAGCATTGTTCTGAAAGTACTAATCAACGTAATTAAATTGGAATATAAAACATGAGTTATATGTGCTAAAAAGAATTAAGAAAAATCATCAATTGGCAGGTGATATGACTATCAATTCAGATTTCAGCAAGGTAGCCCATTATGAAATATATAAACATCAATACCTTTCTCATATTAACAGAACCAGAAAACAATAGCATAGAATTGCAAAATATCTAGCAACAGATTCAACAAGAAAACTCCAGGGCTTAAATGAAAAAATAAACAGTAACAAAACTCTATGGACATAAGTCAAAGACAACCCAAATAATGAGAGACAGACATATATTATTTATGTTTATAAAGACTTAACACTTAAAATATGATTTGCCCCAAAATGATATAGTAATTTAAACAATCACAACCTAAATTACAAAAGGGTATTTTTGGAATACGACAGAGTTTGGGTCTTTATATATGTTTAAATTAATTGTTATAATCATGAAATGAGGCCCATAGCAGAGGAGGGGAGAAACCTACCCTCCTCAGGTTTTCAGACACTTTGAAATAAATGTCAAAATAAATCCCTGAAGAAGTACTAAACCTTGTAGCTAGAAAAGTAATCTACAGAGCCTAAGAAAGTAGTATAGCATAGTGGTCAAGGGGAAGGTCTTTGTAGCCAGAAAATTTGGTGTTCAAATACAGTAAACTCTAACCATGGTAAGCCCTGTGACCTTGAGTAGGATGCTTAACCTTTCAACTTCATTTTCTTTATCCATAATTGAAAAATACCTCTACTGGTTCTTTTCAAGGTTAAATGAAATAGTTTCAGCATAGTGCACAATGCTCAATAAGCACTTAATTAATGCTAGCTATTATTTTGTGTTTATGCCAAATATGGGAGGAAAAGAGATAGGATCAAGACAATCTGTAATAAAAAGAATTTGGGCATGAGAAAGAATAAGGAAGCAAAATAAATATGGTGAGGAAAGAAACAAGTTTTGGAGTCACAATACTTAATGTATGTTATCTCTGCGAGCTTCAGTTTCCTTATTTCTAAAATGAGAATAATAATACCTACCTTCACATTACTATTGTGAGGATTAAATGAAATAATAAATATACATCACTCGTCAAATGGCAGGTACACAGTAAAAGACAGATATTAATGATTGAAAAGTAAAGCAGACTGGGCTGGCCAGTTAGCTCACTTCTTTAGAGTGTGGTGCTAATAACATCAAGGCACAAAGGTCAAGGGTTCAGATCCCCTTACCAACCAGTAGCCAAAAAAAACCCAAAACAAACAAGTAAAACAGACTAATGCACTATTTATCTGTTTGGTTGACATTTCTCTTTTTAACAGATACCAGCTGTAGCAAAGATGTCTACCAATCCAAAGATTTGCACTCCTTTTACACAGTACTGTTGCTAGGAAGTACCTTAAGGGGCTATAATTCCTAGTCCCTATCCCCCTTACATTTAGATGGGGTCACATGACTACTTCTTGCCAATATCTGGGAGGAAGCAATGTGTGTTAATTCCAGATCAATGTGATTAAGGTGTACCTTTTTAACAATCTGAAGATTAAGGTATCACAGAAGTTACAAGTTGGGTGCAGCCTGGGTTCCTGAATCACTACTTGGAAGAGAAAACTGCCCACTGACAGGGAACAACCATTTAAACTTTACAAGAAACAAACTTTTGGGTTTTATCTGTTATAAATGCTAGCACTGCTGTAATTACTAGTCAGAAATAAAGGTAAATTTGGTGACCAAAGCTATGAGTCTTTTACTACACAACGTCCTTTAATAAAGAAAAATCAAAAGGATAAAAAGCAAATGAATAAAATTAATGAAATATGCTTTTACAAAGCTTCTTGTAATACCTAATGGCCCGTTGGGAATTATGACCCCCTTGTAGAAATTCCCAAATAGAGGGATGTATTTCTAGTTTAGCAGAACTCCAGTGTCTTTATTCTCTGCTGTAAACACCCCCAGATCAGGGGCCAAACCTGGTCTATCTCCTGTTTTTGTAAGTAAAGTTTTATTGGAACACAGCCATGTCCATTTATTTATTTATCTATGTCTGCCTTTGGGCTATAATGATAAATTGAGTAGTCCTTGGCCCACAAAGTCGAACATATTTACTATGTGGCCCTTTACAGAAAAAGTTTACCAATGCAGGCTTTAGATTTGGAGCCTCTTAGTATGTCTGTATGTACCTAACTATGTATGTATATATGTGTGTGAGGGAGCTATGTAAACATATGGCCCAATATGTTACCACTATGGAAAAGACCAGTGTACAAAATGCAGGTCATAAACAAATTAATTCCTTTACATGTCAAGATTTAAATCTATACTATAAAGTTACCATATAATCACATTAATTCAACAAATATTTATAAAACAGAAAAGGCTATGAAAAGTCCAACCTAGAAAAGCTAGAGCTTAGTATGTAAGAAGATAACCCAGAGAGAAAAAGGCATGATACTCCATAGAAAATTATGAATGTGTTCTTTTAGAATTCTTATTATATACAAACCCTATAATTCTTCTCTCTGAATATTCTTTTCTTTTGTTTATTAATGGTGCAGCAATTCTGAAGAAAGTTCTTGCATATATCTCCTTAGGCAAAACTGAGGTATGTAGTGGAAGAGTTCTGCTCATCAGTATACCACAGGAAGCTAAATATCTAAAAAGACAAAAATTACCTGATTTAGAGTGACGTTGAAAATAAAGAAGCACAAATTATAAAGATTATAAAATAACTACCACATTTTTAGAAGGCTTTTTTGCAAATTCAGAATATTCCTGAAAACACACACACACACACACACACACACACACACACACAGAGAGGCACAGATACAGAAAAAAGTAAAGTTTCTTAAAGACCTCAAAGAAAACTAAAAATAACAGCTTACAGTTAGGTTGGAAGCTTCGGACACAAAGGATGTCTTTCCCAGAAAGTTGGCTTTCAGTCCACAGTCATGTGTTACAACATACTCTTGCCATAAGCTTGCTTGAATAATTCATTATCTGTTTTTCCATTCAACTTATCTACCGAAGTTGTTTTCCCAGCTGGTCTGCAGGGGTCCTTAATTCTTGATCCACTCCAATGAGACTTGAAATTAGATCTCACTTTCAGATTGGAGATCTGGTGTCCCTGTCAGAATTGTTGCTGTTCTCCTTTACCATTCAATCTCCATTTCAACGCATACATGTAAAAATATGTCTAGTTATCTAGAATGTTAACTGTTCGACATATTTCTATGTACAGATGCCTGATATACTCTTGTTCACCTAAATATTTTTAACCTTTCCCTAATAAGATTATTGCATAACTATCTTATACTACTACAGGCTGAGTATCCCTTATCCAAAAATGCTTGGGACCAGAAGGGTTTCGGATTTGGGATTTTTTCAGATTTTAGAATCTTTGCAGAATACATACCGGTTGAACTTCCCTCATCTGAAAATCAGAAATTCAAAATGTTCCAATGAGCATTTCCTTTGAGTGTCATGTCATTGCTCAAAAAAGTTTCACATTTTGAAGCATTTTGAATTTTGGGATTAGGGATGCTTAACCTGTATTCATTCATTAGTCCATATACATAGAGAGCTCCTATTCTGTGTTAGACTGTGCTAGGTACTAAGGATATAATGGTGAACAGAATATGAGCCTTATGAAGATTATAATCTAGTTGAGGGTTCAAAAAAAAATACTAGAAAAGAAATGGGGGTGGGGACATATAATTAGGACCTCTTTTAGATAGGGTGTCCTAGGAAGCCCTCTGAGGTTATATTTCAGCTGAGACATAATGGATAAGGAGTTAGCCATGCAGAGAGAAAAGAGATATGTATGTACATAATAAATGTGTGTATATATAAAGATATGTAGATATATTTATTCATAAATATAAATGGGGGAGGGGTAGATAGTGGGCATTCCTAGCAGCAGGAAAAGAGGCTGACAGTATCCCAAGACTAAAAAAGACTAACAGTGTAGCAACACTTTATGGAGCCAGGAGAAAGTACCAAGAAAAAATGATGGAGAGACAGGTAGGAGCTAGATCATGTTGGATACTGTTGGCCAACATAAAGCAATTTGAAATTTATTCTCAATGAGAAACTTGAAGAGCTCCAAGTAAGAGAGTGATATTTTATTAAATCAAGTCTTCAAATCTTTTTTTTTTTTATTTAAAGATAACTGGTAAGGGGATCTTAACCCTTGACTTGGTGTTGTCAGCACCACGTTCTCCCAAGTGAGCCATCCCTATATAGGGATCCGAACCCATGGCCTTGGTGGTATCAGCACCACACTCTCCCAAGTTAGCCATGAGCCGGCCCTTCAAATCATTTTTTAAAGGGGGGTGGGGGGGTGAGATGGCTTTGTGAAATCTCCTCATGGTATCATATAAGAGAACTGTGGTCACTAAAGGTGGAAAAGGGGAGGAGGAAGAGGGGATAGTGAGAGGATGGTTAATGAACACAAAATTACGGCTAGCTAGAAAAAAACGAGTTCTACTGGTATAGTGAATGAGGAGGTTAGTCTCTCTGCTCCACAATTTTCACAATGTGATACCCTGCCATCACTGTCACTACCACCAAGACCTTCACCGGTTGTGTTCCCTGGACTTTGGACTTTCCAGCCTCAGAAACTGTAAGCAATAAATTTCATTTTCTTTACAAAATACCCAGTTCTGTGTATTTTTTTTTTTTAAGCAACAGAAAAGGACTAATATAACTGGTATACAGTCAACCCAAGAATCTATAATTAACAATGATTTACTGCATGTTATCAAACAACTAGAAGAGAAAGGAAACCAAATATTCACATCGCAAAGAAATGATTAACTTTTGCAATGATGAATATATGCTAATTACCCTGATTAGATAATTACACATTGTATTCATGTACTGAAATATAACTCTGTACACAATAAATATGTACATTTTTTAATAAAAATTTTCTTTAATTTGATTTATATAAAATATAATTTATATATAAATAAAAATTTCTTGAAAGACATCAACACCCTGCAGTTTGACTGGGTGGAAGAGAAATTCCAGTTAAACAAAGAATGGTTGAAGAAACTAGGAATACTCAGCCAGAATATAAAGGCTAATACCTGAGAATATGGCTCTAAAATGTAAAACAAAAGCCTAATTAGAGGGAGGCAATGAAATAGAAGTCTATGAAAATGGTTAAGCTACATACTGCATGACTATTTGTTAAAATGTAATAGAAAAGATGGGGCTAGCCGGTTAGCTCAGTTGGTTAGAATGTGGTGTGGATAACACCAAGGTCAAGAATTCAGATCCCCAAACCTATCAGCTGCCAAAAAAAAAAAAAAAAAAAAATGTGATAGGAAAGAAATATGGCCCTTTTAAGATTCTAGGATTCTTATGTATCCAGCTATAAATAATAAATTCAAAAATAAATTCTAAATTTTCTAGGACACCACAAATAGTAGTTGATTTTGTTGTGATGCTAAGAGCATTATTTTAAAGATAGCTACAATATTCTTTTTAGTCAAAAGAGATTTTAGGTTGGGGCCGGCCCGGTGGCGCACTGGATAAGTGCGCCGCTTGGGAAGCACAGCGGCGCTCCCGCCCGAGCGTTTGGATCCCACATACAGACCGGTTCCCGCTCACTGGCTGAGCGAGGCGCGGGAGCAACACCGAGGGTTGCAATCCCATTGCCAGTCGCTGGTCCGGTACGGGGGCAACGCTGAGGGTTGCGATCCGTTGCCGAACACGGAAAAAGACAAAAGACAAAAAAAAAAAAAGAGATTTTAGGTTGGGGCCGGCCCGGTGGCGCACTGGATAAGTGCGCCGCTTGGGAAGCACAGCGGCGCTCCCGCCCGAGCGTTTGGATCCCACATACAGACCGGTTCCCGCTCACTGGCTGAGCGAGGCGCGGGAGCAACACCGAGGGTTGCAATCCCATTGCCAGTCGCTGGTCCGGTACGGGGGCAACGCTGAGGGTTGCGATCCGTTGCCGGACACGGAAAAAGACAAAAGACAAAAAAAAAAAAAAAGAGATTTTAGGTTGATTCATTTCCTAGAGAGATGGGTGTTATGTGTTCCCAAAAACCTTTAAAAATATGATTTGTTATGTGAAAGAAGCCTATTGTGATTTTTTTTTTAGAGTGTACTTACAGAGTTTGCTTTTAAAAGTGGGATTATACCAATAAAAGTGAACCACAATTACTCTGCTAAATGATGTCAATGAAAATAAAATAATTAGGCAGTTAATTAAGCTCCACCCTTAAAAAAGAAGCCACACTCAAAAAAAAATTTAGGCTCTGTTAGCTAGATTGACTACAAAAACTAAATCTGGTGTACAAAATGCCATTTTCCTTCTAAGAGATTCTTTAGATATACTTGTTATAACAGTTTTATCTCCTTCCCCCCCACTTTTTGTACTCCATAGATACCTTATTATCTATTATTGGAAGCTAATTATGTGGAACATACTGTGGTTAATTTTCTGATAAATCAAGTATCAGAAAAAGCAGCTTCTCTAACATTACTTTTATTTATTTATTTATTTATTTTATTTTATTTTATTTTTAAAAAGATGACCGGTAAGGGGATCTTAACCCTTGACCTGGTGTTGTCAGCACCAGCTCAGCCAGTGAGCAATCCAGCCATCCCTATATAGGATCCAAACCCATGGCCTTGGTGTTATCAGCACCACACTCTCCCGAGTGAGCCACGGGCCAGCCCCTAACTTTTATTTTTAAAAAGGTAAAACCCTTGCATCTGAAGAGGTGAACTAGGTGTCAGGTTGACTAGGAAGCTTACTTTTCATTGTATATGGTTTTGTAACAGGTTCATGTATCACCCTCCAACCGCCTCAAAAGATATCCTCATAGGGCCGGCCCAGTGGCGCACTGGATAGTGCGCCGCTTGGGAAGCGCGGTGGCGCTCCCGCCCGAGGGTTCGGATCCCACATACGGACCGGTTCCCGCTCACTGGCTGAGTGAGGCCGGGAGCAGCGCCGAGGGTTGCGATCCCGTTGCGGGTCCCCGGTCCGGTGCAGGGGCGGCACTGAGGGTTGCGATCCGTTGCCGGACACGGAAAAAGACAAAAGACAAAAAAAAAAAAAAAAAAAAAAAAATATCCTCATAGAGTCTGATTACAATCCTAAGGGAAATATCTGTTTTTAAACGAAACTAATAGGAGGTTTCCTCATCAGTTTGCACGCTATGGTTACAATGCTATGGACAGCACATCTATTTTCACACACTACTGAGAATATGTCTTTTACTGAAATATAAGGAGCCATATAGTCATACATACAGTGAAACCATGCAAGAAATACTAGAACACATGGAGGACGGCTTTTTTTGTCACCAACCTTCCACCACTGCTCTCTCAAATACTCTATCATAATAAAGGCCAGAATCTACGTTAATGCTTCAGACTTGGAATGAACTCATAAACTCTCTCTTTATCATAAATAGATATTTATCATGGAATTTGAGCCTTAATTTTATCACTAAAAAACTATTTTTTCCTCAAAAATAGCAGTGTTGTTTTATTTGCAAGCCAACACTTTTTATAAGAGTAATGCAAGCAGATATCAAGTATGTTCTGTTTGCAACTACTTTTTGAGGTTATTTCCTAAAGCTATATATACGATTTTATTTCGACTTCATCCAATATTTGTCTAAAAGGATTTGGAGTTGGCAGAGTTGTTAGTACTTTTTAATACTCTTCATTGAATCTAAATGTCCTGTGGCTCAACCAGATTTGTGCTTTCTCCCTCAACCCCGTACTCTATACACCTGAATCCATTGTTTAAGCACATTAACTTTAATTTTCGATAATTTATTAAATTTTATTAATAAAAGTAAACTAAATAGTAAAAGTATGGTATCCTATCTTCACATCCATCTCCACCCCACCCACCAAAAAGGAACTAGGGAAATCGAAAGAGACTCTAGTTCAAGGTTACAAGACCCCTAAGTTACAGTGGAGTGAAAAAAATGCAGGTCTTCTACATCGGCTACGTTTAATTTTGCAAGCACCAGATAACGGGGGCAAAGAACTCTACCAGAAATTGGCAAAGCGTGTTTGACCGTCTGGCACGCAGGAGGAATAGGAGAACGGTGCTCACCGCCAGGCCACAACTCCCCCCCATGTACCCAGCAGCCGGTAACCCTTCCGCGTAGTTAAAACTTCCCGACAGCAGCAGCAGCCGGCCGGAGGGAATAGAGCGGAAGTGCCCGAAGACACCCCTGGATTATCAGCTGCTTGCGAAGTCGCTTCGCCGATGATTCACCGCATCTCGCGAGGACTGCGAGCCACGAACACAGACCGGACGGCCGGGACAGGCCGGAGAGCCTCGGGCCCGGGGTGATGCCCACGGCTCCCGAGTCGCTCAAATGCCGAACGCAGGAGACCCTCCTCCTCCAGAAACGCGGAAACACAGACTGTGGCCCCGCCTCACCCCAAATCCTCCCGTCCGTTCCCCCACTCAGCAGGCCCGGGCGGAAGACTACTCCCGTCCCGGCGTCCCCGTTGTTCGTTACCTGACGTTCCGCGCAGGCCCTTGCGCCGGAGCCTGGGCTCCGGCCATTGTCACCGACTTTGGACGGCATCCCGAGACCACCCTTCTCAAGGCTTCCTGACCGGTCCGGGCGGCCATGATCGTCCCACTGAAGCCGGTCGCCATCACCACGGCCCCGGCACCGCCCTCCCCAGGGAGGCTGGGCCGCCGGACTCCGGTGTCTTCCAGCCAATCGGCTGGCTACCTGAGCAGCCAGACACGCCCCTTCTTCCCTCTCCGACTGTGCAAAGCTGTCGCTCACTTCCACTGCTTAGGGCTGACTAGTCGTTTTCGTCATCCTGCCGGCCAATCACAAGGAGCGCAGGGCCGCCGGGACACACCCCTCTCCCCGACCGGACTCTCGCTCCCGCCGTGCGCATGCGCACCTTGCGTAATACTCACTGTGACCCCCTTACCGCACCTCCCGCGAAAGAACTGTTCCCCGGATTCGCGAACTACCCTGGTTCTCTTGGGAGGCTGCTTCCGGTCGCCACGCCAGGCAAATAAGCGCTCCCCTCTCCCCCTAGTGGCCGGAGGAAGCACAAGGTTTGGGTGTTAATTATGTAACTGTCCAAACCCATGAGTGCTGAGCCGGGCACGCCCGCACCCCTTGCTGAGAAGCCTGGCCATCACCGTCCTGCTCCTTAATGATTGTCCAGTAACCATACCTGCCGTACCTACCCCATGGGGTTGTTGTGAGGGCAATTTAAAGACATGTTGTTAAGGAAGAGACTCAGTTACCTACCTAATACTGGTTCTGTCTGCCTTCCTGTGTGGTCAACATTTTAATTGGTGTTCGTGTATGGTTTGAGTTTCCCTTATTCCATACACACCAGACAACTTTGCTTTGGTTCTTTTCAGAAGTCAGACATCTTCATTTTCTCTCCGTTTGTTCGCAAGTTCTTATTTAACTTTTGTACGCCACAGTTTCCCGTAAACTGTGAAGTGAAGATAGCAATACTACAATTTTATACAGTTTTGAGGAGTAGATGAGATTATTGATTAAATGTAGTCAACATTTTGGGAGTACCTCCCAGCTGCTGGAGAAGTGAGCAAAAGTCTTTACCTTCTTAGAGCTTATATTCTAATGGGGGAAAGAAACCAATTAGTATATAATACAGTATCATATAATTATATGTCCTGTAGAATAAAAAATAAAGTAGGGTAAGGAGATGGAGAGGGAAGGGTAAGGTGGGGTGCTATTTTATATAGGGTCGTAAGGTGGGCCTCTGAGGAGGTGATACTGAACAAAGGCCTAAAAATGATTAAACTATAACTAGTTGGGGGAAATTACCTTCAGGTGTAGTGACCAGCAAGCACAAAGGCCCCAGACAGGAACCATCTTGCCATGCTTTAGGAAGAGTAAGGGGTTCGGAGCATAGTGAGAGGAGGAAAGTGGTAGGAAATGAGGTCAGAGAGGTTGGGAGGGCTTTATCATAGTGCCTGGGCAGCCATGATACCAATTTTGGATTTTATTCTAAGTAGGAAGAGAAGCTATTGGAGGCTGAGAGCAGAACAGTGACTTGATCTGATCTACATTTAAAGAAACATTCCAGCTATTGCGTGTATGTATGATTATTCTTTTTCCACTGTTGCTTGGTTTATTGCAGTCACTTTTTACTAGATGCTTTGTGGAGTACACTGAAATCACCAACTTCAACGTTTGTCAAAACATTTTTCTGTAGAACACATGATACTCTGTCAATTGTTGATTGAAGTAGTTCAGTAGCTGCATAGACAATTCAATACTAGATTACATAATTGCTGCTCTTCTTTAAATCTTATATATTCCCAATAATGTCTTACTTTAAAGCGCATTTTCATCATATTTCTCCCCTGCTCAAAAACCAGTCGTTGTCTGGTTGGTTAGCTCAGTTGGTTAGAGTGTGGCCTTATAACACCAAGATCAAGGGTTCAGTTTCCTGTACTGACCAGCTGCCTAAAGAAAAACAGTTGTTTTTCTTAGAATATAGGCAGTACACTACCGTTTCCTGTAGAATATAGGCAGTATACTGCCACCCCCTACTAAGTTCTATTTCATACTATTGGTGTCCTTAACTAGAAGGTCTGTCAAACAGTGCTCAACATGCTGCACAATACTTATATTAAACACCTACATAGGGCTGGCCAGTTAGCTCAGTTGGCTAGAGCACTGTACTGGTAACGCCAAGGTCCAGGGTTTGATACTTGTACCAGTCAGCCACACAAAAAAAGTACTTATATACTTAATAAAAGGCTTCATTTATTAAATTCACCAAACATTTTCTCATACAACTCTTCCCAGACACGTGAAAATATCTACTAAATTGGATTGTCCAATTGAACAGTTTCCCAACATTTTTTATTTAAAAAGGCAAATAAAAGAATTCTTTTATTTAAAAAGGCAAATAAAATAATCTTTGTAATAGATGACAATGTATGACACTCATCTGACTTCTCAGCAAAGGAAATAACATGCGGCAACATAAAGGTGATGATAAACTCTTTTCAGTTTCAGTAAATAACAGTGCTTCCATAAATTAGAGATTATAAGGGCTGTCTCTACAATATTAAAATATTGGTTATAAATTAAAACTTAGCAGAGACTTGTGGGAAGCAGTGTCATAATTTCCAAACCAGTTACGCTGTTGCAAAAATATTTGATGTGATAGCACATATGAAATCCTCTCGCCAAAATAATTGAATCTGAATATGGTTAAGCCTCTAGATATGCCAGTTTACACAAGGGATAGACAAACATGTTAAATGACACCAAGAAGATACTGTCTGCCAAAACCAGAACATAGGAGATGCTACAGGACAAATGACCCAGTTTTTTCAAGAGGTAAATATAAAGTAAAAAAGGTGGGGGTCGGGCCAGCCCGGTGGCGCACTGGATAAGTGCGCCGCTTGGGAAGCGCGGCGGCGCTCCCACCCGAGGGTTCGGATCCCACATACAGACCGGTTCCCGCTCACTGGCTGAGCGAGGCGCGGGAGCAGCACCGAGGGTTGCAATCCCGTTGCCGGTCCCCGGTCCGGTACGGGGGCAACACTGAGGGTTGCGATCTGTTGCCGGACACGGAAAAAGACAAAGGACAAAAAAAAAAAGAAAAAAAAACTTTATTTACAAAAACAGTCAGACCACTCAGAGACGACACAAGTCGTTTGCCAACCCCTGCCTTAAGGCTCTGTCTTTTTGTTTCAATTCTTCAATACCTAGTTAACATTTATATGTACACACACACATTATTGTTGCTGTTTTTAAAATAATCAGTATGGTTTCTGTCTCCTGACGGGACCCTACTCATACAGAAATTGGAA